ACCTGTGCCGGGGTTATGCCCAGGTAAGTTTTTACTTATTTATCAGTTATTTGCATTACTTTAGAATACATTTCTTTAAAATTGCGACCCCCGACAAACAATACACCAGACAGACAAATACACCAAAAGATACGTACGCCCCTCTAAGGGGGCATCCTCACACGACTGACACGTACACACCCTCACACACACACACACACACAGACACACATACACACACACACACACACACACACACACACACACCCGCACACACGCACACACGCACACGCACACACGCACACACACACGCGCACACACACACACACGCACCCACACACGCACCCACGCACGCACGCACGCACACACACGCACCCACGCACGCACCCACGCACGCACACACAAAATGTAGGACTCCGAAAACGAGGAGAACATATACATATACATGGACGATACAGACAGCGAAAGACCCTCTTCAAGAGTCTCCGCTTCACCAAAAAACATGACCACTAAAACAGATTTATACGAACAGTTACAAACACAAAAACATGAAAACGAGACGCTAAAACAACAAATACACGAACTCACAGAACAAAACACCCGACAATACCAACAAATACTAACCATGACACAGCAAATCGTCGATTTGCAAAAAACAATTAAACTTTTGGACGAAAACACCACTAAATTACACCAAAAACTCGACAAACTCATCAACAAACAAATGACAGACAATATACCCCACACAGGCACACACACACACACACCCACACACACACCCCGCACACACACGCACAGAGAAACGCAAAAAACACACGGCGGAATCCTCTAGCGAGGACGAAGCCCCCAGACATAAAAAATCAGACAAAACAAACAAAACACGACCACAAACACCAAACACGCGCCCCCCGACACCTACCCTCCACAAGCGCCCTACAAAACACCCCACAAAACACACAACAGACAGACAAAACCAAACAAGTCCCCCGGTAATCTTGCGAAAGCAAGAACGGTGGACGCAAGTACAAAAAATACTCATGACATTTAATATTAACTACACAAAAGCCAAACTCACCAAAGACGGTATAGCCATATACCCAAACACACCAAATGACCACAGACTATTGACAAAGTCACTGACAGACAAAGGCGAGGAGTACCACACCTTCACCCTCGGCGAAGAAAAAACGCTAAGGGTGGTGATACGCGGAATACCTGCGGGTGTTTCGCCAAGTGAGGTCCAACTCGACCTTGCACGACAAGGGTTCCCCGGCGCAATGGTGCACCGCATGGCGAGCCGTCAAAATAAACAGGAAATGCCCCAGGTCCTAGTTCAGGCCCCACAGGACCGCGCCACGCGCGCGCGCGCCATTATTCTATGGCT